AGCACTGCCCAACCACGTACTCATTTACAGCTAAGTAGACTGGAAACAAGCGGTGTAAAGTATCTTGTTCAAAGATACAACACGGTGCCGAGACGTGAATTGAACCCGCAACCCTTCGGTCACAAAACTCTGCGTCCTACCACTAGACTACCATGTCTCCAAACATACACATGTACCCCCGACCCCAACCCTGACCTTTGAACCCCGACCCCAAACACAATGGAGCTAAATGCAAAGTCTAACCAAATTCAGTGAAGTGAAAAATATAGATCAATAGATCACAGTGACCTTAATTTTATAAACTGGTGTAGTACTCCTCAAACATTTTTGTAACAAAGAACCAAGTCTGACAACTGTTACTTGTACAAAAATAAAATACTGTAAAATCAATAATTTTTGTGGGATTTTATTTTTGTTGATTTCTTGAGTTCTCTTCATCCACGAAGTCACAGGTTCACAAAGTAATAACAAGTTTGACATAAAGCTATTATCCATATGATTGGGTACTTGCAATTCACAAATTCATGTACCCAGGAAATGGTGTTTTTTCTGGAAACCACAAAATTTGGGCCCTACAAAAATGTCTTATTTCATAGTATATTAACGTACCTTGATGGAATCGATTCTCTCCAGGCACTTCTGACATACTTGCTCATATTCATCGTGGAGTTTGGCCATATGCACCTGATTCACAGAGTCTGTAACAGAGCAGTTTCTTTTTAACAAAATCCATATCGCACACAACCACCATTTACCAATATCCTACTACGTCACCATGAAATGGCATTATTGTGTAAATTGGCGAATAAGAATATAATTACTGATGTATCAAAATTAAATCAAATTGAAAAAATCCAAACCAAAAATAGGTTTTGTTTATGGTAGGACCAGCATGGTGTCTCCAAAACGTTGATTATCAAAGTTTTTAACGTGTCTAATAAAAAAAATCACAAACCTTACTTATTTGACAAAAAGTTCTTATACCTATCTCTGTAGTGACGGCCACAATGTTCTTGTTCCACTGGTACACTGCTGTTTTGGTGGAGGCCGGAGGCTGCAGATCACTACCACAAAAGTTTTATTCACTTATTATTACATATGTATGTATGTTTGTATGCATAGGCAATAATAATGAACAAAACACTTGTATATTTCTTAAAATATCATTACTAAATAACAGTGAAGTGAGTGTAAAGCTGTTTTTGTAGCAAAACTGTTTTTCATTTTAAACATATTTTCTTTTACAAATCAAAATAAATCAGGATGACTTTTTATCATTTGTCATAATTGTCAAAGCAAGAACTATAAGACTATTTTTCATAATGTAACCAAAAAAATCCCTATTTTTATATCTAATGTTAACTAAATAAACTGCATGTTTAAACAAATTGTGTGCAAAATGATTCTTGGTTATTCTTATAAAAGAAGTTTTAATAAATCCAAATTACTATGTGGAGTTATTTTTACAAACAGAATACTACAGCAGTTAACAAGATCCTTTGAATATGCAACAATTACTTTCAAAACACTCACTAATGTCATTATGTAGGCTACAGAAATTTAATTCATGACTTTTTCATATTTTGCACTTGCTTTGCCTGAAAATTGACTGCTTTGAGCATCCCACCATACTCATACTTCTAATGTAGTCTAATTATGTTGATTACACTAAAGGTGTACTATCATTAACTAAGGCTCAGCTTGTGCAAGAACAATGTAATTTCAAAGGATTCGATTTATGATGTGTCAGAGTAAAAAGTACCTTAGCTGATCAATTAAGTCAGTCCTCCTCTTGTTGAGGATCTTCTGTTCCGCTTTCATAAACATGAGCACCTTCTGGACCCCAGGGGGAGATACTACATCCTCACTCTGCATAAAGTCTCTGTTTAGCAGGAAAACACAGAAAATTGAAATAAATGAGAAAATCTCAAGGTCATCAATGTATGATATTCTCAAGGTCATCAATGCATGATACTCTCAAGGTCATCAATGCATGATACTCTCAAAGTGATCAATGAATGATGCGCTCAAGGTCATCCATGTATGATACTCTCAAGGTCATCAATGTATGACAATCTCAAAGTCATCAATGCATGACACTCTCAAGGTCATCAATGAATAATATTCTTAAGGAAATCAATGTATGAAACTATCAAGGTCATCAATGCATGACACTCTCAAGGTCATCAATGCATGACAATCTCAAGGTCAACAAAGCATGATATGACACTAATGTAAAGAGGATATTTAATGGTGTCTTCATTAATGAGTGAAAAATATCTAAATATTAGCCACACGAGTGAGATACATTTGTTATTACTGAAGACACCATT